TAGGATTAATTCTAAATTATGCACAGTGTATGCGGTAATTGAACAAGAAAATACATTCACATTTACTTTACTTATTTTCGATAATGTATCGATCGATCATGAAGTTTGATGAAGGAAAAATTAAGGAGAACAAACAAATATATCCATGAAGATAACGGTTTTCCAGAAAGAAAGAAAGAATTAAAATTTCAATTTCACAATGTATAAACAAGGCAAATGACTTTTGTTGGCTTATGACAAGAAAAATATAATTTTAAAATTATTCGTTGACATAAAATATCGAAGTAGTTGTGAAGTCAAACATATCATTATTCCTTTGGGAAATTTGCACCACCCATCTTTCAACAACCAAAAAGGAATGAATGTATGTATGTATGCGTGTGTATATGTGTATATGTGCTTGCGTATGTGTGTGTGTGTGTGTGTGTATGTGTGTATTCTTTTCATACGTCAAAAATGTATGTGCGTACGTGTTTACGCGTGTATGTATGTATGTGCGTGCGTGTATGTGTATATGTGCGTGCATATGTGTGTATATGTGCGTGCGTGTATGTGTGTGTGTATATGTGCGTGTATACATATATTATATATATGTATGTATATAATTAGTAATTTTTATTATTTTAATAAGTTATTAAGCAAAATTTGAAAAGATGAAAAAATTTAAACAAAATTTAAATCTATTTAGACTATAAATGATGACCATATCTATATCTATATATAAATATGTTTGTAATTTTTACTAATATATGAATGATATATATATTGCTTTGATTATTTGGTTAGTCTTTTTTTCCCTTTCACCTTCTTCGACATGATATTGTCCTTTTCATTTTTTCTTTATTTGAAACCACTTTTCCGGAAGGAACTTATATTGCAGAGAGATGTCGAGGCGCAATCGATCCATTCAAGCAGCTTTTCTTTTGCAAGCCTAAGCTTTTCCTGTTTTCAAACATTCCCATATTTCTCAAAAAATAATAAAACTTTTTAAAGAATTGTAACAAAATGAAACGAGAGAAAATAGATGAATAAAAATGCTCGATGATAATTGAATGATAAATTATCATTTATTCCTTCTCTTCTTCTTCATCATTTTCTTTATATTAAATGGTTTTTGAAATTACCGGATTTTTCTATAGTCTCATAAATAAATGATATTTCCGGATCAGAATAAAATTCTATACAATTTATCGACTTATTAAATCCCGAAAAACAGTAATTTATTTATTTTTTTTCTTGAAATTACAATAATTTAATATAAATATAATTTTAGATATTATTCCCATTGTCTTGAAAAAAATATGTTCAGCTAATAACTGATGAATTCCGGAAAAAAATGGTTAATTATTTGGAGCGTGCCCGGGCATTAGTTGAATGTTCACCCTTACCATCATCTTTCAATGTATCACCAATACAACAGCGAAAGCCTGAGAGATTTTCAAAGGTCAACTTTATTGGTAAGCTATATGGTTGGATATATTCACAGCGGTTCCTTTCAGGGATGATAAATAAAATAAATGTTAAAAAAAAGATTTTAAAACTACCTTATTTTAAAACTACTTTACTTCCTAAAATTTATTACCTGTTAATAATAAATAAATTAGCTATTCGAAATTCTTGCCTCTAAGAATGAATGAATAAGTGAAGAAGACATTTTCGAAACAATGTATCTGTAAAATGCAACTAATTTTATAATGAAGTTTAAAGTAATGATGAAAAGACATCAACTTTTGATGGCAAAGTTTTTAAATTTAAATAAATGCAGTGTCTTTTTTTCCTTTCGAAAATTTGTTTGTAAGAATCTTAAATAATAATTTACCTTTTTTATTAATAAACAAATTTTTCTCATTTTATTTCTTCTTATCAGTTAATCAACAGCGAGATAATACAGTTGGATATGAACAAGTTGAGAATATCACTGAAGAAAACAGTTATTGCATGAAACATAAAATGAGATTTATCAATGCATCGGCGCAATTATCACAATATCGCTGTTGCTGCAGTCTCATGCATGCTGTGGTAGATATTACAATATATTGTATTTTTTTTTCTTGCCGAAAATTTGAAATTATTGCTTTAATTTCCGTAAATTAATGATCATACTTTAACTGATCAGTTAAATGATCAATTATCCTAGTAGATATTATATTTTTGGACATTTCCGCTTTTACTTGGAATACTTGTATGAAAATTTAAAAATCCAGTAAAAATTTTTTTCCAATCTTTTTTTTATCTAAGTTTAATTAAATATAACTAGGTGTATACTTATTTAATCATTAACTTTTTACCAGTCTTTCTTTAATTTTGGATACCACTTTTGCAGTATCTTGAGCAATGTAATACATAGCGCTTTTTACATTTGCGCCATCCTGAAATAGCGGATTTCTTTCTTTAAATCTCTAATCATTATATTATACTCATTGGAAATTTTTCTTTCCCTATCATTCATTCCCTCCTACCAGATAAGAATTATTTCATATTCATTTTCACTACGTTTCGTTTTTTTCAGACTGGTACTAGGTTCTTTCTGCTAACTTATATGGCCTTATCAGTTATTACCTTTACATTTGCGACAAAATCAGCTGTTCTCTGGTCTGTAGTACCATTCGTGATTGCATCGCTAAGTATTTACGCATTGTGCACAGAAAAACACAAATATTTGTATCCATTTTTAGTTATATCGGTTTGTTTCATTGGTACCCACCGTTTTTTACCTTCCTTATAGTTTATTAGATTTCATCAAAATTTTATGAAATAAAATTTTTATTATAAAAAACAAATCAAACAGTAAAATATTTGCTTTAATGATTTCCAAACTTTTCATATATAATTTCACTAATTTCAGAGTGTTCATATAATACTTTGTATTATGGTCGTACTCATAATAATCACATTCACAGCTGCCAGTTATGGTACCTTTAGGCAAATTGTCGGTAAGTATTGAATGATAGAATAGGAGTTTTATCAAAAATTTTCCGAAATACTTCTCTTCCTTTATGCTAATCTGTAGCAATGTACATGATTTTGAATGATTTTCCGGAAAATGAATCACAATCCAACAATCATCAAATCAAACATAAACTGTCATTAAATATTGATAATTCTAAATAACATTTCTCAACGTATCTTTGCAATTTCCGGAGATGCCAAGGATATATGTTGATATGTTGAAAATTGAATTAACGTAAATTTAAATTATTACAGGATATTATATAAAAATACGACTCAATGATACATTAATCGTAATATTTGTTATTACAACCGTTATATTATTCCTTACTTTATCAATAGTGCATTTATGGCAAGTAACCGTCGTTTATAGGTGAATTTTAATAGTACTTTGAAAATTAATCCTTTTCATATTTATTGATGAAATATATTTGAAAACAAGGATAATAAATTTTCTACATCTTCTACTTTCCACTCTATCCTTTTCACTCCCTTCATATCATATGGTTAAACTGTCATTAATTTAAACACAAAAATTTCCCTCCTGTTTCCATTTTAATTTATGATGCAGCAAATAATAATGTTTAAAAAAAAACAGCATAGGTTGATTAATTTGGATAGTAATAATTTGCCAAGTTATCCGAAATCATTTCATTAATCACATTAGTCAAAAATTAAATTATTTTATCAATTTTTTTTGCTGTTATTGTTTTCAAATTATTTTCCAGCTGCATGATGTATTTCGAGCAAAAACGCTATCTGGAAAGTGATCAATATCATCCGATCATTTCGAAATACAATTGTTCACATGCAAAAGAAGATGGACATTTCGATAGTTATCACAAACGTTTTGCCACCAATCATAAATGTTATGATAGTTGTGCCTCAGTATAATTGTAATTACTGAGATTGAAACAGTAATAATTATTGATAGAAATCTATTGCTTTACTAAATTTCAAATTATATTAAAGATCTGCAATTTGAACGATGATTTCGAATAAAAATTGAAGCTTGAAACATTTGACAAGCTATATAAATAGTAAGTATGTTTATCGTAATTATAATAATTAATAATAATATATCATAGTAATAGTGGTAATTAGTAGTAATAATGATATTAGTAGTATAATTAGCTTATGTATAATTGATTTTTCTGAAATTTTAAAATTTATAATTGTTCATTGTAAAATTGATGGATTATTTATTGTATTCGACATATATCTCTTTATAGGCATATTTTAAATCTATTCTTTGACCTCTTCTTGGACCAACTTCTTGCATTTCAATTTTCATCTAAAGAGTAGCAAATCTTCCCCTTATTCTCTTTAAGTCATCTTTATTCTATTCTTCCTACAATTCTCAGGTCGATAAATACTGCTATTAGCAACTTCAAATGTAAATGTTTGTTTTTTTTGAATGATATTTATTAACTATTTGCATATTCCGTGTGTATTTCCTCCAGGGATTATTTTCATACCTCCCAGTAATTTCAAATTTCATGCGATACGTGAAGATCTGGAATTTTATCACTTGATAAGAATCTTATCAATTAACCCACGGAATACTTCAAGATATCCCATATTAATTATAAAAAAAAATGCAAATAAAACATTATCAATTGGAATACATTCTGTTGAATAGCTGGTTACTTGTAATGTTTTGGTGAATATTATTTTCATCATAGTTATCACAAACAGTATCTTATCAGTTGTTACAAAAAATCATAATTAATTATCATTTATTATAAAATGTTTGATTAATTATCAAGCAAGCAAATGAAATGTGATATAAAGTTCATTTTTTTCTCCTTCAATACATTTTTACTTTTTTGAATGTTACTTCAAAATCGAATCAATTTTCAATCTATCTTTTACTGAATAATAAAAGATTAGAAGGCACTACTGATAAGTAATAAAATTACTGTTTAATTTATCACTTATTCCCATAAGCTACTGAAACTTTCGAAATTATAAAAAACAAAATTTGATTAATTTAGCTAATTAATTTTATTAATTGTAACTTTCTAAAAAAAAGATATATGAAAGGAATAAATAATTATTTTTCAAAAAATGCCAAAAATAATTAATACAGATAATAAAAAGGTAAAACGAAGAATAAATCTTTGTTCGAAAAAAAAGCAAAATTAATTCTAAAATAAATTAAAATTTAAAAATTAATTAAAATGAAAAGAGTTCTGATATTTTATTGTTAGCATTATTGACAGTCAGCTAAGTGGAAAATAAATATATTAATGAATTTACAATCTTTTTCTTTTTCAGTGAACAAATTTAATTTCTATAATATTTTTTTCTTAAGCTTTATATGAACGATATGTTAAATATTAGTTGTTATTATTGTTGTTGTTGTTGTTGTATATTAATTAAAACATAATACCACGCAATTATCACCTAATCAATAATTTGAATCTGTATTTTGTTATAAAATCATTCAAAGAAATAATTCATACGATGTTAGTTTTTCTTTTCTTGTTTTGATCACTTTTTTAAACTAATAATTTAAATTCAGAATGTTAATAGAAAAATTGGAAATACTTAAAATATGTCGTAAAATTTATATTGGATTATTAAAGGATTGAATGGTGCTGAAAAAAAAAACTTTCAAACAAGAATTTTGAAACTGCAAAAATCGTCGATCGGACGATTTAGATACTACTGGAGAATTTTAAAACAGGACTTTTGAAAATGAAAAATTGATCATTGTTGAAACGGAAATTTTGAAATTTAGAAAGTTCTACCATCAATTTTACATGCATCTTCTGGCGAATGTAAACTACACGATTTACTATTATATAAAATATGAGGATTATTTTTGCAAAGAAATAGAAATTATTTACCAATCACTATCAAATAATATCAATCCTGATTCACATTTCGAAATTAATAACTTTAGATTGCAAAGTGAACTGATAGTAACTGGTGAATGTATCACCTTTTGTTCCGGAATTACTTCTTGTGCAAAAAACCATTAATTGATTAATGAATTCATTAATAAAGTTTTTCGTTTGCTACCAGAAATTCTACGAAAAATTTATTTTTTAATAGATAATGCTTTTTACTGGCTTGTGTTACAAAACATTGATCGATGAATGAAATTTTTGCTACCAGCTATTTTGCTTTGCGAAGAAACTTTCTCATTTAAGTTTATTTATCTTAAATTAAAAGGGGAAAAAAAAAAACATTTAATACAATTGACTTTCTCTTTCTCTCCAATTTTCTCTTCATCACATCTCATATTTCCAACAATTTTTCAACATTTTTCAACATGATGATAAATACATCTAAATTAATACTTTAAAAAAAAAAATATTCAATGAAAAATATCATCTAATAAATCATGAAATGCGATTCATTCCAAAATTTTATATTCAATATTTTTCAGTTGATCATTAAATTATCCGGAAAGCTTGAACAACCAGCATGTTTACTTGAGAATAAATATTTAGCAAAATTTTAGCTACTTGAATTATATAGTATAAAATTATCGTATCAAAAAGTGAAATGATTAATTAGCTGAAGATTTTTATGCTGATCATTATTAACTTTGTATTAATCATAACTTTTATTACAAAATATTGATCGATGAATGAAATTATTCGATTATAGAGATTACCTATCAATTATGAATCATTTTTGCATTGAACATTGATTAATATGGATTTTCTAAATTACCTCTAAATCCTTTCATTATTTCAAATTATTTTCACTTTTACCGATTGTAATTTCAACTATTTACTAAAAGTTATTAGTGCCTTTTGCTTGTTTACATTAGCATGTAACTATTTTAAAATTAATTAGAAATCATTTTAAATTATTAACAATAATTCTTATTCGGATAGTGAATTAATTTAAAATTGTTAATTAACAGACACTAAAAATAGATCATTTCATATTATATCATTTGATCATAGTATCTTAAATCATTTATCATAAATTATCAGGAAATCTTAGAGATATGATAATGATAAGTAACAAGCAATTCATTAAGATAATCAAAAAAAAAATGATAACATTCAAAAAAAAATTTTCAAATTCTTCAAAAGTTCAAAAAGCAAAGTTCAAAGTTACATTATAACTAATAACATTTTTTTTACCTTTTTCTTTTTCAAAAACAATAAATTCCATACAACCAAATAGAATGAATACAATAAATGCAACTCATAATGACAACGGTACTTCCAGAAATAATACTCGGAAATTATCTTATCATAATTTATCATTTATAAAAATAAGACTGATTTTTTTATTTATTTTTTGATAAGATAAATACAAGGATAAAATTACGGCTGAATAAGATAGGAATTGCCGGATTAATAATGTCGGATGATTTACACATTTTAATTTAACGCCGTCTAGAAGTTGAACCAAATTTGATTGGCACTACTTTGTCTGCATCACTTTCAACTTGTCGTGCGGTATGTCTGAAAATCAACAATACTTTTATTATAATCAGAAAAAGAAATTATTCATGTAATTGAACTAAACTTGTTTTAAATTTTAATATTACAGTAATGTATGAATTTTTTTTAGAAGAAAAAAATGTTGTACTCAAAATTATTCAACTAAAATTAACAATTATCATTAGGATATTTAAAAAGGCAAGTTTATAGTCTTATTTTGATAAATTATAATGAAAAGAAATGATAATTTCATATATATATATACATGTATGATAATAACATATATATATATATACATGTATGATAATATGATAATAACCTTGTTCGAGCATTTTTCATTTCCGAAGATGATGGTACTTTGATTGGTACTGAATTGACATTTTTCATAATACGTCCCCGTGAATCAACCAAATTTGTTTGTAAAGCTGTATTCAAACCATAATTATTCTTTCCAAGAGTCTGTAAGTAAGAAATTAATTACACATTAATTAATTAGCTTGCATTTTACTTTAAGCTAAAATTAGAAATAATTTCCTGCGTTAAAATCTTAATTTATAAGATGCGGTATTTCCCATAAGAATGCCAAAAAAGAGAGTTTAAATTATGCTTTGAGAATTATTGCACAAGATTTGCTCAATTTCAAAATGATTTCTGAAGCATAAATTTTAAGCGGAAGATAACAATAGGATGATAATTAATAATAATTGTTGATAACAATTAAGAACAATAATAATAATTATTATTATACCATTAACAATAATAAAATAAACCTTACTAGTAGTAAACTTATTTCTTTTTGCTAATTACTTTTGCTTGCTACTCATTTTACAATTATTTACTGCAATAATTAAAATTATCTAGCTTAAATTGAACAAATGAGCAACAGCCTACTGCTGGTGGCGCTACAATAACGCGAACATTTCCTTTTGGAGGTCCCGATGAAGTTGTTTTTCTCGGAACTGTTTTCTTGTGATTTCTCGAGAATATTATTGGTGGTTTCGAAGAATCATCCGTCTAAATTTATTGATTGTAGTATATTATCACTGCTAACAACAAATTTCAATCGTCCTTTTTTGTCATATGATCATGTTGTAAGTACATCAAAATATCAAGAAAGGATCTATAACTGAGTGTGTGTCTCAGACTTTAGTATGATCATTAAATTACTCCTTTGACCTTATGAACTTTCTTGAACTCTATCAATTTCTAAGAAATCTCTAAGATGCTACCTCAACTTTGGAAGAATTTTTTTCCTTGTTCGATTCACTAGGTGATGATGCGCTTAATGCAGCCATCATCCGCGATCTTATAGATAAATTCGGTGGTACTTTTGGTGTTGGCCGTATGTTCAGTTCTTCATTCTGTAAACTAATCAATTAAGCAATCAATCAGCCAATTGATAAGGCATGTAGAAGAAACTTTCCATTAAACTAAGTATCATTAATGAAACTTGATGATTATTCCGAATGATCAAATAGTTTATAAAATATAATATGGAAGTGCAGTAGTAATTTGTAACGTGTGATACTAGTTTTGAAAGAGGTCTGAAACTATCTAGTAACAATTATCCGTCTAACATCTTGTGCACCGATTAGAATTAGGAGATAAACTTAATTCTATTTCCGATAATGACAAAAGCTATAGAAGCAATGCCAAATGAAATAAGCGGAACAGTTCAACAGTTTAACCATCATGAAACACTTCTAATAAATTTCTTTAGACTATAAACAGCACATAGTTTTATACCACCTGTGAATGGTGGATTGGATGATTAGACCTTTTTATGAATTAGTAAGATATAACATGTTGTTGTTGCTGTTGTTGTTGTTCTTGTTGTAGTTGTTGGCCATGTTCTTGTTGTAGTTGTTTTCCCGGTATAATTTGCTCCTTTGGATCACCGACTTTTTTAGCTGGACGAAGTCCAGCTGGTACAGTAAGACCATTATTGGTATTGATGAGAACAATTGTTATCATCAGTGTTGAATAGAAACAGACAGCACTATGGTACATTGTACTAGGTCACAACAGCATAGACGACCAATTTCTGCAATGTCATTTCAACACCTTTTGACACAGTGGCCGTAATTTTTACACATCCAAAAAAAAGTAAACAAAGGAAAGAGAAAAAAATAACAACAAGAAAAGAAAAAGGAAGGTTGAAGGAAAAGGGATTTATGTAAAGAAATGATTAAGTGATAAATTAACTGATAAATGGATAAATTTAAGAGGAATAATTTTCCTCTAAATATTCTTAATTATTTCAGGCTAGTCTTTTTAGATTGTCATAGAATTCTAATTAAGCAACTCATTCCTACAGTATTTGTTAATTAAAAGTTATTGAAATATAGAAATATTTATGATACATATAATCATCAAAGTTTTACTTCAGCCTTTCAAATGTTACAGTGAATCATTTAGTTAAACTTATTATTTTCTTAACTTAGCATAAGTAGACGGAAAATTCCGTATATGATTTCTCGAAACATCATTACCATACAGATCGTTTAGAAGCTTTTTGCAAAGGATTACATTAAATTTTAAAAAAATGAAAAAACTTAATACACGAAATAGTCGAACCATAATGTTATGAATAAACAAATTCATCTGCCAATTACGCAATTTCTAAAGCTAAACGTTTTCACTCATTTGTTTTAAGTAAATAAAAAAGAATGAAAAAGGTAACGTGAAGTTAACGTGAAAAGTTAACACAATAAAATTATGACATGAAATTTTCGACTTTTCCTTTTATTAGGCTAATATTACTGAGAATGAAAACGTAATGCAGGAAAATAAAATGTTTATTACCAGATTTATCAAAACAACTAGCAAAGATTATAATGCATTTTTTTTTTGATTAGATAATCTTAAGATCAAATTGATTAAACAAAAGAAAAAGTGAATTCAATACAGTTCAATTCAATTCAACTTGTCATATTTTCAAGTTCATTAAAATCTAATTTAGTTAAAACAAAAAAAAATTGATTTGGTTCAATTCAAATTCAATTTGCTTCATATTAATCTAATAATTGTGGTATGATTCCGAAATATCATTGAGTTTGATAACATATGATAACTTCATTACACATTTTATTTGCCCATTCAATAATTTTAAACTATTCTTATGATTATCATTTTATCACTTTCAACCTGAAACATCAATTCAGTCATTATTTCTATGGACTAAAAAAAATTAGTTACTGATTTGATTTCGGACTGGAATTCCTAGCTTAATAGTTGAAATTTACAATCAAGAAATGAATTACATTAGATTACTTATTGTGAAGTAAATAGTAAATATTATGAGCTGTGATAAGAAAGACAAATGATTACTTATCCGTGATAAGATGAACATTAATGTTCATAAAAGATGTCGATATCACTATTATCTATTATATGATGGATTGAAATGAAATAGAGAGAATGGAGAGGGAGAGGAGAGAGGAAAAGATAAAATTAATCACACATAAAATTTAAACTGCAGGAAAAAGGAAATGATGGAGAACATAAAACGATAGTAGTAGGTTGAGCAGTTCAGCCGATCAACCTCGACTGACGATCGTTAATGTCTTGAAATCCGTTTGAGAATTTGTTGCATCGGTTGGCATGTGACCTAAAATGACAGCACATTTCAAAATCAATGTGTTCGAAATAGGCGTTTTTATAAAATCAACTCTCGTCATTATCTTGCGCACCGTTCCCTTTTGTTCTCTGCTGATAGTATAGCTTCATAGTGATCATATCCTTATCATCGCTATTATAATCATCATATTTGTTAACTGCTATGCTTAAATTTAAATCTATGTTTTAGGACTAATGATTTTTAAATAATCAAAAATTGACACAAAAATAAAAAGAAGTTAAACATTGCTTTTATACGTAGACGAGCGTTGATGATTGAAATTCTTTTACGTATTTTCCTCTAAAACTTAAATTTCTATTTCAAGTTAATGTTTGTTTTTTTAACTTTAACAATACACTGAAAAAAAAAAGTATAATTCCAATTAACTAATAATATGTTTGAATTCCGTTTAATTTTTTGATAACCGGATTTGCAATACGGATACGGATAGAGAGAGAAAATCATCTACCTATACTATTTTTAAAATTTACCAAATCCTGTAATATTTCTCATCTACTTCTTCATGTCTCAGGGATAATTAATTTCGAAATAACAAATTTGAAATTCTGGGCATAATGAAAGTTAATTGATAAAATCATTTTCGTCAAAATGGTTACTATTATTATTGTTGTTGTTGTTGTTGTTATTTGTTGTTGTTGTTGTTGCTGTTGTTGTTCCTGTTGCTATTGCTGGTGTTGCTTAACCAGCTTGTACCCTTGCTATAGTTGCTTGGGATAGTGCAGAAATTCGTTCCCTGTGTGCATTTTAGTGTGGGTTTCGAAGAACTGCTTCTCTCATACTATAATACAATGGAATGCATTTATGTACAATAATTTCAAATCGTTTTAGTGAGGTGCCTTTTGAAATTAACTATAATTTTTATTAGACCAATTGAGCGCTATACTCTTTTCGACCAATAGTCTACAAATCATTTTAGTTACCGCGATTTTATGGTTAGAATTCAGTTGAATTTTTGAAATTTAGTTCTGTTTTTTTGCAGGATAACAAAATAGGTTTAATTTGAATCCATGTAAATTTTCCAAAAAGATGGGAAATTACTTATCAGTTATCAGAAAAGATTAGGACAGATGATTTCAGTGAAATGATAAATGATTTTTAACAATATGTGAATTGCTGAGAATATTAGCATTTTTCATTCATATCTGTTTTGCGTCGAAATTTTTCCTAGTATCAGACTCCAGAACCAGAATCGATAGCATTGGAAATATTCAAGACATTCAGGATATTTCCTCATAATGAAGATTATTCTAATATTTAAGTTAATAAGATTAAAAATTGGAATTTAAATTTTGGTAGCAAAATTTTTTGATACTTCCAACAAAACTTATACAAAAAATATATGCCTTATGAGTCCATGTCGTCTTTTACTTTTCGGCCAAAATTTTCTCCTTCAAACTACGAATTTCATACATTTAACTGTGACATTTCCAAGTTTCTAAAATATGGGATTTCAGTCTGTTTGTTCTTTAACCTCCAAAACTTTGGAAACTTTTCGATTAAAATTTTTTCTTCTTTTTATTTGTTGCAGGACTTAGAAGAATACGTTTTGAAGTAAAGAAATACTATATCTAATGGGAAATATTTTGGTGAGTATCGTTCAGATACATCCATACACCTTACTCGGATTTCTCATAATTTTTGTTTGGATTATAGCTGTCATCCATGCAATTTACAAGCTTATCGTCGAAAAGGTTGCCTATTCCAGGCAGTATTCTTCATAATTACGACTGTAATTTATGCATGAAATTATCGGAATTCCAGTAAAAAAAATCATGTAACTGGGATAATGGGATAATAATAATAATTCACATTTATATCTTCATGTAATTTAAAATTTGAATTCGAATTTACATTCTGAGATTAGAATTTGAAGCGTTTTGAAGCCATGGGGTGCAGTTTCGATTCATCAACGAATGATCGACAACAATGAGATTAAACGACAGCGTCATATTGATGATATTCGTTTAAGAATTAACACCGATGATCCTGATATTTTGCAGAAAAGGAAATACATTCTGTCGTTGAATTTCTTCGAATTGCGAGGTAAACCGCATTGTTAATTCCTATTCCAAATTTGATCAAGCATCAATTGATTGATTCAAAATGTCTCAATTTGCTATGACAGTTTATGCTACACTGAAGCTAAATCAGTCTTATTTTTTTGGACTTAGAGCAGTTTTTGAATGAAGTTTATGGATAAATGATTAAGGTTTCGAATATTGTTCCACTTTGAGCAATACTTGTGTTTCAAGTTCCAGTAATCACAATTATTTAGTTGAAAGTTTCGGAAAATGTTGCATAACTTTACAGAATTGCTTGGCTTCATTGATCGGTCATTATTCATTTAAAAAACTGATATTTTTCATTTTTTCAAGGTGAATTGCAAAATGACTCATTAACTGCTGTAGATGTATTAAACGCTTTTGTCTGGAAGGCTGAAATGGTGCAGAGAGAAATTAATTGTGTTATCGATTTTCTGAATGAATCTTTTGAGCAGGCCCAAAATTTGGATGCAAAATGGAACAACATTTCTGGAAAACCTCCACTTTTTGGTATGCCATTCAGCGTGAAAGGGAATTTTTACGTGAGTCTAATGTCTTTGTGCTATTCTCTAATATAATTAAATTTACGGTTAATATGTAGTCATTTTCCATCATTTTAGGTGAAAGATCATGATTGCACTGTTGGACTTGCAAAGTTTTTGCAAAAACCAGTGGAAAATGATTGCACGCTGGTTACTTTTTTGCGATCACAAGGTGCGATACCGTTTGTTATAACAACTGTCCCACAAGCGTTGTTGAGTTTTGCCTGTTGCAGCAGTTTGTATGGAATAACTTCGAATCCACACTTGCATTCCAGGTATATTCTGTTATTACATTACAGATTTTCAATTTGTCGCCATTACAGAGACGAGTTATTTCGGATAACTAGTGGAAGTTACACTCAGTGTTAGTAAGATAGAAAGCTTCGCTGTTGTATTATTTCAAATTTCAGAATCTTTGAACGCTGCAACTAGATAAATAGAAGTTATTTTGTCTTTATATGAAGTAGTTATGTTTGTCACCAGTGAAAATAGCATCACATTGAATGACTGAGTGAGTTTTTTTTTTTTTGAATTTTTCTCCCGTAATATTTGATTAGTGAAGTTTTTTAATTTCTAAGCCTTAAATGATTTCACTTCAGAACACCGGGAGGCTCATCCGGAGGAGAATGTGCACTACTTACCGCTGGCGGAAGTACATTTGGGATTGGAAGTGATTTAGCTGGTAGTTTAAGGATTCCAGCAAGTTTTTGCGGTGTTACAACTTTGAAGCCAACAGAAGGTTGCAGTGTTTTTCTTATATTAATCCTTACTATATTTTTAGTCAAAATATTTACAAACATCCCGAGAAATCTTTTATCTGTCTCTCTATTTAGGACGTTTAAAGGTGAAATATGCGCTGAAGGGGATTAATGGTAAGAGTCGTTTACCATTGAGTTACGGTTTCTTCACCAAAACTGTCGATGAACAAATTTTCTTGCTTAAAATTGTGCTAGGATCAGAAGAATACCATGAAATGGTTCCACATCAGCCACTTTTTCCACTGGATGAACGCAAATTTTTTGTTGGAAATGATCGGTGTCTTCGTATTGGTTATTATATCGAGGATGGTTTTATGAAGCCTGTTCCAGCGTAAGTTACTTTTCAACAATCTCTAACATCGTCAATTGTGTTTCAAAACAGTTTGTGAAATTAATCATTTGAAAATTAAACTTTTATTTGGTGATGACTTGTCCAAAATTGTTACAGAATTTCGGCACTGAAATAGGAGATACACCATTTGCTGTTTCAGGTGTTCAAGAGCTGTTGTGCAAACGGTTGAGAAATTGAAAGCAGCTGGGCATGAACTGGTGCTGTTCCATCTGCCTGATCCGGAAAATGCTGCTTCACTATTTTATCGTAATCTTATGCCATATGGTAAAGACCAATTACTAAAATTATATGCAGATGAAGTAATCCCTCCATCTTTTCGTACTTTTATCTTCCTTCTTAAGGTTTGCTTCTTTTCTTTTACTCCAGTTCAAGATGTATTTTGAGAATTTTTGCATATTACTGGTAAACAAAGAATAAAGTTACATCCCAACATTCAGGTAAATGAAAGGTAAAATTACACCATAATATTTAGGAAGAAGGTTGGGATTGTTGATTGATATACTATTACATATAATTTCCTGCTTCATTTATATTGCTTTTCTAAAGACAAACACAAGCACTTACCCTAAATACTCACATTTCAGATGTCACGCACCCAAATCTTTATTTGCAGCTACCATTTTATGTGTGCAGTACTATTAGTTATATTCTATCATTCATCAGTACGTCACTATCGATAGTTGCTGGTTCGTACGTTAAAAGCCTTGGAGATCTGCAAATAACACATGAACTAACTGATCAATATACAGAAAAGGTTTTTTCTTCCAGTTTTTCAAAGTAAATTACATTTTTATGGTGTGTAGCAATAGAAGCAAAGAAGGATGAGGAAAAAAGAAAACTAGAAGCATGAACTTTTGGAAATAAGGGTTGAGGTTCGTATATACTAAACAACTTACAAAATTTTCAAAGGTTTTATTTCATATCGGGCAAATAACTCATTTTAGTAATTCTCTATATTTCATTTTTCAGTTTATAGAGCAATGGAAAACACTCGAGCTGGATGCACTTATATGTCCAGCATTTACAGGTGATGCTTCTCCATTAGTAAATTATCTTTAATGATATCCGTGCAGCTATTTTAAAAAGCTATTGAAGTCTTGAATGAAATAAATTTCCCTACTTTTGCAGTTCCGGCTGTACCGCACGATTATCCAAGCCGTCTTGGAGTTTGCGCTTTTGCGACCGGTTTGTTTAACTTGTTGGATCTTCCAGCTGGAGTTGTGCCTACAGGAACAGTAAACTCGGAAGATGATAGATTACTAGCTGATGAAGATTCCTGGCGTACAGGTAGTGTTTATGTATTACTTTCATTCACAGTCGACGGTCAGTTGTTTCGAGAATTGTTTCCGTAGATTTTTAGAATCAAATTTTAAAGGGAAGTTTGCAGGCAACGACTTCGCATTGAAAATGCTAAGAAAGGCAGCTCGTGATTCAGCAGGTTTACCTGTGGCTGTGCAAGTAGTTACTTTACCGTTGAGGGAAGAAAAGTGTTTGTCGGTAATGAAAGAGGTCGAGAAGGTATGGAAAAAGTAGATAATAAATACTTAATCTGGATATTCATGTTCTGACAGTGTAGTTGTACTTATCTCATTTTATTTCGTGAATAATAAACGGTATTGCAAATCAATAGTTACTACAACAAATAATGTTTATTGCTGCTACACTCTGCGAGAAATGATTCAGAAATGATCGGTTAAATTTAAATTCTGGATGGAGTTGGAATATTTAATCGTGTGTTATGGGTTGGCAATAAAGAAATCTGACCTCTCGTTTTGAAGGTTCCAAAACGGTTTCTTGACTTTCGTAATGACATCGTTGGCATAGGAGTAAAGAAATATGTAAGTGAATATGAATAGAGACGGGAAAAGGAGAATCGAGCTAGGTATAACAGAGAGAGGAGTGGGGCTTGACAGTCTTCATAATTTGCGAGTATATTTTTTCTTGTAAATGATTTCAGTTTTTTTGATCATTAATTTCTAACATTGAAACAAACTTAAAACAACTAGATATTTTTTACCATTTCTAAATGAATACAGATGAGAAGCCACGTATTTAGAAGCATACCTGGTAGTCGATTCATCTGTGATTATTATGGTTTTCGACGACGAATCCAATTAATATCTGCGCGGAAAGAAAGAACTGCAGTGTCCCTCACTGTTATTTTCTACAAATTAATCGTTGTTGATTTTTGGCTAGTCGTTTCCCAGCCGTTTACCATTCCAACAGAAGACAGGATGGTGAAGAACTTGAAATTTTGTTGGCGGTAGGGTTCTTTATAGAAGAAGAAGAGGTAGGTAGCGCTAGAAGGGTGCAATTTTCGGCTACTGTTCGGTTTTGTGACTAGATTAGGTCTTAAAAGTGTTTAAAAAGGTTTATCCGGTTCGAAGTCCTGCATTAATTTGTTCAATATGCGTGGATCTAAAACTTGAAATATAAAATTAAAGCCAAAGGTTTAATAAACCCGACAGTTTGGTAAAACATTCATGTGGAATGAGAAAAGTTATCTGAATTTTCAGAATTCAACATTATTATGATACTATGAGCTGATTTATGTGATTGGTTTTGGCATATACTTCAAACGGCGTAGAGAAGTTATTCCGCTTGAATTGGTGAAGAAATGTTGCCTCGTAATTTGCAAGCACTGCGGGATAGGAAAAGTAATTGGTCGCTAGCAGAAGATCGGCAAGTAAGGCGCAATTTTTTTCGCGGAATTCTGGGAAGATTAGTTTTCAAGATGAATCAAGCGATATTATCTGCACAATAAAAGGCAGGAGATCTTGTTTCCTTTGCTACTTGCAGTTTTTATGAGTCAGTACTTTCACCTGAATAATTCAGGCTTTTGTTCATCTTTTTAGATAAGCAATATTTATTATAAGAATAAGATTATTAAGTAAGTTTTGTGCACAGTTTGAGGCATAAACCGTTGTTTTATTCGTTATTTTTTTTCAGCTTTGCTGTTTGTTGGAGGAAATAAGGTCTTCTTTAACCTTAAAGATCAATAATGTTTCGGATGCAATCCAGGAAAATTCTTTGAAGATCACCAATGCATGTGTACAAGTTTCGAATCTCAACAATCGATTGTCCTTATTTGCAGCTGATCAATTCATCGAAAGCGTTGGTTTATTTACTCATATTTGCATTTATTTATTCCCTTTATAAATTTGAACCTGGCACTCACTTTCTTCTCTGAAATGCAATTTTGTATTTTTTATCATCCATGCATATCGCAGGAAGGAGCAAAAGCTTTGTTCGCAATTCCTTATTTAGAGTCTTCTCTTGAGTGTGGACTGAGCAGTTTGCCCTAAGGACGGCATATGATTCATCCATTAATTCATTCATATTTCAGCGTGTGGCTGATGACGCTCCAGCATGCGTCAGTCCAACTCTGGCTTCTCAAACGGTTAGATTTTAATACACTTTTCGTTGTTTTTGAAAATGATAGTTGATTTTTCTATCTATCCACAAATTCAGGTGGTCCCAAACAAGCAAACGGAAAAAATTGATAATTTACGTCAAGCGGTGTCAATGGGATTAGAGTTGATGCGAACACATTTCAAGCGAATTGATATACGTCCCGAGGATCTAGATGAAGATAACGATCCAATTTGCATGCCTGAACCAATCTTCGAACCATATGTGCATTCTTTGCTTTTTTATTAGAACAGAATTTTGCATTTTGTCATTATTTCTACTTCTTTTCCTTCCATTTTCTGTAATATTAAGTTTTGGTTGGAAATTTGTTCTCCCTCAGGTGTTACAGAAAAACTAACAAGAAAAAGGCTGTAAATCTGCCTTTTTCTCGTTAGTTTTCCTGTAATGATAGGAATCTATTCGAATGATAAAAAGTAAAAATGGTAATGCAACCATTAATGATTTGAGATTCGTTTCTTTCAGGATGAAAATCTTTCACGGCCATTACCACTCCTGATTGGTAGTTCAGGCTGGAATTCTTCATCTTATGCAGGTTCTTCAGAGGAATGTGCTAAAATAGCGAAGGTCCTAACTTGTTTATAATTTTTTACATCAGGCGACATTTGAGTAACTTCTAGCTTATTACATTAATGGTCTGGCGCATTACCAGTACAGTGTGGTATTCCTTAAAACGAATGTGCGTTCTCAATGTTTTGAGGATCAGCAACATGTTGTGAAAATGTCATAAATTTAAGGTAACTGAAGAGGTTGTTGTCAGTTTGCCACCTTTCACCCAACCAAGAATGGCGGAGTGCGGAGGTCCATCTTATTTGGATCCACTGTAAGTACTTTGACCGGAAAATCGTTCGTGTCATACTTTTTTGTTGTAATGAGGTTTACGAATTTTAATAACTTTTTTTAGCTCATTACTATATCAACATGTAAATTCTTCCGTCCCTTCTGTTATGTAATCTATAAACAGTAGTAGTATGACCTTAATTTGTTGGATATGCGCTTTTCCATTTGTATAAATTTTATGCTTTATTTAAACTATTTCTGTAGAAATGGGAAAGTGGCATGTATGATATCAAATCAAGCTACATCAAATATCAAAGGTGTTGAAGGAAAAATTGGTAACTGTTCAAACGAGTACAGTAGTGAGACTTATACTCCTCAGGTATGTTATTTGATTCTAATTTTAGAATATCCTCAGATTTGTAGTAAGAGCATATGATTGCTTGCGTCATTTGTCTCCATCCAGTAAAGGGTTCAAGTTACATGTATGCTTTGGAGTCAGATAACAGTAAATGTATCGTCCAGATTGAAGGATCAAAGGCTCAGTCGATAGCGAAGAGTTTATTAATTTATTCAGGAAGTGGTTGCTACGTCCAGTTCACAAGAAAAAGAAATTAAAAATGCAGCAGAATTCACATCTAATTTGTCAAGAGATGGGGCATCGCGGCGGTGTATGTTTTGTTTATACATTTTTTTCAGCTTAATTACGTTCAATATTTCTGCTGTTTCTTACATGTGGAAGAACTCAGATTTGTGTAATCTTATTGTGTTGCAGGCCTTGAAGTACCGGTAATACCTCGAAACCCTGAAGTGTCGGTGAAGCATTCTGGTTCCGAAGTGTCCCACAAGCCTCCGGATCAGGAAATATCTACGAGACTTCAGGAATCTCAAGTACCAGTTAAAAGAATATTGACTAATGATATAGTGGAAGATCAAGCAAAGGAAAAAACCAGCGAAGTATCTTCTTGTATAAAACATTGTATTTATTTGTATGGTAAGAGAAAACTGTGTGGCGCGCTTCGTGTTTCAGAAGATTTTATGCTTATCTTTTCCTACTGATGTACTAATAACTGAGGCCAAATGTTGGCAACTTCTACAAAATCATTTTTTTCTTGGAGGGCATATCAAACGCTGTGAATAAATTGTTTGTCGACAGCAGCTCCGACGAGGATGATCTTTTCAGTGACCTTAAGAATACGGTTCGTTATTTTCTTAATAAAATGACAAAAATTTCTTAGAGACTATGAAACATTATGCAAGGTTAACGTTTTCCGGATTTTATAGATTGTGGAAACAAAGAGACATATTTCTGCTTATTCGAGTGATTCTCAATTCATTTCAACCACTGAAAGAGAGAATATCAGCTTACGAACGGATATGAATGCGCATAGTCCAGATGTGTTCGCTGATGTTTCGAAACCAGTAAGCATTTGCGTTTAAATGGAACTGCGACGGATTGGAAAAATTAGATTGTTGATGCAAATCACGTTTTTTTAACTTATATTTAGCTAATATGGCGGAAAAACTAACGGAAAAAAAGCGGAAAAAAGAATAGTAGACGGTAATGGAAAAGCCGTCATTGAAAGTAATTTTAATTGAATAATGATTAATATTTTTGGGTGTTTTTAGAAAAATTCTTTGAAAGCTACGGATTATATCTTTGTAAATGACGCGCAGACTTCGGATTCATTCCGGAATAAATTAGATGGTATACTTTCAAATAAAATTATGTCAAATACGATCAATGACTTGGAAAAACGTCAAGGGAAAGAAATTACAGGAGAAAGGATAAAGAATGATGGAACCAACGCCGTTTTACCTTCTCTTGCAAAGGTATAATGGGGCAAAAAATTTCATTATGGAATCACTTGCTGATAATTGCAGATAAATTCATGATTGTTTTCAGCTGCGAGCGAAAGGACCGCCTCGACGTTCACCATCACGTTTGTTGCAGAATTCTGGCAAAGACAATGACAAGGATGAAGTGGAATCGGTTCATCCTTCCATAGTTGTAACTGCAAATGTAGAAAATAATCAAACTATTGAAGAAGAAGCTGAGGTATGTAAGGGACGACAAAATGATCTGCTGAAAATCGGTCTCGGAAAGCGTGTTACTGATAATGTAAGCAGTTTAAAGCAGAGGAACGACACTAATTCCATATTTTCTTCTGATTCCGACGATGATATTTTTTCCACTTTTTCCACTAGGTCTAAAACTAATGCACTTGTTTCGAAATTACAAAACGGGAACGACGGTGTACAATCACTGCTAGCCTCTAGGGATGGTTCTTTAGTGACATCAGCAAGCCGATCGCAGATTCCTAAAACTGATTGTAAATTGAAGACTTTGTTTGACTCAGATGATGACCTTTTTGCTAGCTCTATTCCGGTAAAAAAACAGGAACGAGAATCTGGTAGAGATAAAGAAGCGGTTTTGGCGAAAGTAGTTCAAGAAACAATAATTCCAAAAAAAGATGAGTCAGTCCTCAAAAAAAAGGAACCAATTGTTCCGAGAAACAAACCAAGTACTTCCAAACCGAAAAGAATAGAAATTTTTGATGATGATTCTGATGGTGATCTTTTCAACTAATGATTTTCGTCCTTGTGAAATTTTTCAAATCATGTAATTCATGCATTGTTATATGTCAATTTTTTTTCATACCAATAAGTTTTGATTAAATACTATATCAAATGACTGTTCCGTCTGTTTCATTATTTAATATTTTGCCATCCTAATAAGCTTCCCTTTAATTCCTGATACGAATATTGATAACCGCTCGACTTAATAATTCAGTTTGGCACCAACATAAACAAATGCTTGAAACAAATACTATGATGTTGCTATTCCTATCTTCAGTTTTCATCCTGTGAGCGTGCCGTTCGATAACCTGCACTTCGTAAAGCTTGCGACGGTGACCCCAGAGCGATAACGGTACCGATATCCCCTCTGAAAATAAAGTAGGGCCATACGCGGCGAAGGAATCATACCAAGGAGTTAATTCATAAACCAGTTCAGAAGGGAAACAGTAGTTCCGGGAGGGAAACAGTAAATATTCCGGTGCTAAGAATGTCGACATGTCACGGCTCAGATTACAATTTCATTTGCTCATGTAAGTGTTGAACATTTGCTTTTCCTTGCATTGTAATTCTAACACTCCCAGTTTCTTCTGAATATTTTGCCATATGCCGTGGGTAAACAAAAAACAAATTTAACGTAGAGTACATAACTGTATCAAACAATGCTGTAATAGATTAAGCCTGAGGCAGAGCTTTTCGTTACAATGTGAGGATAAGATGAAAAAAACGGACTATTTTATTTCTGAAAGATAGTTCTGTGTACGGTGAGCACAGAAATACAATTTATGTGGATACTGAACATGGCAGTGCATGGGCATGAAAGTCTAATCACGATCAAACAGAGGTAGGAACAATTTGGGCAGTAAATGGAATATAGTGCAATTATAACTGACAATGTTCAACGAGAAAGTAAGTACACTATTTTGAAATGAATCAGAATTTAAAATAAGTGCGAAGGTCTTCCCCCATGATTCCTGCAGTCAGGAAATAAAATTGGACAGGGCAAATCTAAAATTCAAAGGAAAAGAAAATCAAGTAGGTATCCCAGCCGTGAGACGTAAACACATAAAACATCCGACGTTATAATGAAATGGTACCACGGCTACATAACAGTAATTAGAGGAGGTTCTGCGGTGACTTACAAAACGGAGGGTGGGAAATGAGAAATTTGATACATTTTGCAAAAACAACAATCTGAATTTTGAGACTTTGCCAGCTTCAACATGGTTTCCCCAAATGAGAAAGCCTTGTCATCAAAAACAGCGGCAATGTGATATTGAAAGAACTTTAAAAAAGGACAACACGGGACAAAATATACAAATAGGATGATGGAAGTCGTTGTACAGTTGCTGCCAAAAGATAAAAATGGAAGTTTGAGCCATTATGCTGATCGAAGAGACTTACTATACACAATAGTTTCTCTAAAAAAAGTACCCTAAATTGGTCCTATCCACGTTTATACGTCTTAAGAAATTATCCATCGAATAAAAGCTAGAATTTAATTTCAACATTTTAGGAGTAAAAGCTCAGTCTAAATTCACTCTTTTTCATTACCGAATATAACAGTTATCCAGGAATTTCAATTTAATAGAAGTCGAATTTTACTATAGTATAACTGAATCAATGAGACACCGGTCCAGAATTTGTTCTGGTTTCAACGGTGCAACGCGTGCTACAAGTCAAAGCAGCCGCCCTGCTATCTGAACCAAAGTTAAATAAAAACAACCGAATAAGCGTCACCAGTAAAAGATAAAAAGAAAACAGAAATCAAAGAAAATACCAAAGGTTTTTGGAGCAAGTGCACCTTTTTCACAAAAATAAATCTCTCAAATTTCTCGAAAACTACCAACAGCTATCTTTCGTGCATCGTTTGGTATCGTCAGAACGCCTTTTTCTACACTAATCTGAGGTCGTTCACAAAAAGATTGCAGACTGGATACGAATTTCATTTTAGCACCCCACAATTAAGATTGGAACCTTCTATTTTAGCATGAAAAAGGAGACTCCAAAGATAAGTGACGAGTAAAAATAAACATTTGCACACATATATATCCATACGAAGGTGCGTATGCACATGTGAAATTGACAGAAAAAAGGTTTGCAGTTTGCTATTCTCACAAAAACTTCAGCTAAACAAGCTATCTAAGTACAATTATCTAAATGGAAAATACAACTCAGTATAGGATGATAAAAATTGCAAAACGAGCTAATTCAAAGAGTTCCAATTACGGATCATTTCACCGACTTCATACGGCAATTGTGTACGATCCCATTTATCACGGAATACCTCAATAATCTCCGAAATTCTTGCAGCAAAAAGTTCTAGATCCACCAATGGCCAATCGCGACTTTTTCCCACAGCCTGAAATTGATAACAGATGAGTTTAATAAAGTACAATTACAAAAATTTGCATTAATTACGGTACTCTGTACCGTAATTAATGCAAATTTTTGTTAAATCAAATTCAAATCAAATCTTTCCTATCTTTAAGAACATTTTTTTTTCCACAAAACATATACTTGATTAACTTCTATTTATTTCAGAATTACCATATGGACTATTCCATCGAGTTTGTTGAGATCGATTTTAAGATTTCTACCTTCGTTAATGATACCCGTTTCACGATTTGAACTTGAATTGCTCTGGAATGAAATACTTCTGGAACAACTCATTCCATCTTAAAATATAGCAGTGCTTATAACAAAAATATAATAATACGCGTTTTCTGCATCTTAGTGCTAAATAAACTTCTTCGCATCGACCTAACACTCTCTAAATATTCTCTTCCTCTGTGTCATTCATGAGAAATTCATCGAATTCTACTATTATGCGGCTACACTTAAAACAGATTTTTATTAATGAAAATTTACATTGACGATAAATCCGTAACGAAATTAAAAAGCAGAAATTGTCGTAAAGGATAAAAAGCGGTTTAGAATTGAAAGTGCTGCATTTTAGCGAATTTGAGTAAAATCAATACTAACAGTATCCATACACCGTCCATTCTCGAAACCCTTGTCATCATCCGTTATCGGCTGGTCGCCTTCACTTAGCACACCATCTTCAATATCAACACCTTCGATTTGACTACTGAAGAATATACAAATTACCAAAAAGTTTCTTTTTATAAAAAGTGGGGCTTTCAATTGAAAATCCGAAATATAATTTTAGTCAAATCAGTCAATTAAATGATAAATATTACTCTGTTAATTCGATTTCCTAAAAACCCAAATAACAAATACTAACCTCAAATTTGGTTGGCTTGCACGGCACTTTTTAAGGGATTTTTTGATGCAACGCCGTTTCCGAGACAATCTATAAGTGTGCAACCCACGTCGCTTGATGCCGGTTTTTTTCAATTCCTGAAAAAAAAATTAAATCCTTTATGCTTCAACAAATATCACTGCATCTAAACACAGCCTGTTCAAATATTTTGGAAAATTATTTATTTACAGTTATTTAATATTTTCAATGTTTCGATTTCTCTAACATGGTGTAGATATTTTTATAGAAAAATGACTTCTGGCGCACGCGTTTCCAATTGACCGTTCTTCACATGAACTTCACAATTATTCGCTACATATCCGTTAAGCTGCTCCCCACGACCGCCTTCATCACTTTCGTCATCCACCTCGATGCCATTCTCTTTCAACATTCTTTTCACATCCTAAGTTAAATTAGTCATAAAAACATTTAAAAACTTTTCGGTCATCTCTATGCTTCAAAACTACTACAAATCCTGAGTTCCCAGACATCAATTTAATTTTTTCGTTCTCTTTTTATTTTAAAAACACTACGTGATGTCATTCAGATTCAAACATGTCGAAGTCCTAGGTTCTCAGGATACCGTGCTTTCTTACCTCTAGACGTTTCAAAAACTTGGAATCCAGTTCCAGAACTGCCCGCTGACCCATATCCAACAACACTTTCGCCATAATGCGAATCTGACGTCCTAAAATGTTACGCGTATAAATTTTAACATTTTTGTACCATATTTAAGCATTTTAGATGAAAATGCTTTGCAAAGAAAATGGGAGACTGCTTACAACTTGTAGTATCAAAAATACAATTTTTATTCCGTTTTGATATCTTCAGGACTAAAAAATATTTGATGCCTAAAATAAGCAGTATATACAACCTTCATAATCAGTTACTGGATTATATTCCACTGCGTTTCGATGAATCAGTCGGAAATCGTTGAGGAATTCATCAGGCGTCTTATAGCTGGATGCTTTTGAAAACATAGTACCAAGATCCATAGGATTTTTAATGTGTGTGTAATAATCGGGTACATCTACAGGATCCACTGGTTGTACGAATGCACTGAACCGACGGTCACGGATTAAACGAGCTGGAAAAGGAAATAATGGCACAAAAAAATACATAAAAATTACAAATGGAAAAATGAATAGACAAATAATCTAATTCATAACTTATAAAGGATAAGCTGCAACTAACCAATGGTTTCTTCGTAATGAAGGATTACTTCCAAATGATACTGATTATAAAGCTTCTTCAGTTCTTTAATTTCATCATTGCTGAGACGGCTTGACGGTTGTACTACATCAGCTTTTGAAAGTGTAGGATATTCATCAACTACAACGCAAGATGAATTTCTTAGTATCTCAAAACTGAGTTTTGTAATTGGAGGTTCACTAATTTGGAGAGACAATAATCACTCTAGTTTGCCTGCTAAAAGAAACAGTTCTATTTGTCTCTTATGTGAACTACTAATCAAAGGTTCAATCAGAGATCTGAGTTATAACTCAACTTGGAAATATTAAACACGTCTAATTTCTAAACATGCGCAAAAGATTACAGTTATTGAAGATTTTAAATAATAAGTTACTGTTGAATGTTATGGGTGGAGTACAAGCTGGTTCGACAATAACATGCCGGAAATAAGCTTCAAGTCGGTCAGCTGGAGGTGCAGTTATTTCCATTGAATCTTGAGAACGAAAAACTAATTGGATCTGTAATGGTTTGTCACAATTTTTACAATGAGACTGAGGCTTAACGCTTTGAAATGAATAAACTTTTTGCAATGCATGAACTAATATAGTACAGTGTGCGAGATCAGTGCCTTATCCAGCTTACTTCGGACTTTACTCTTCTTCGGAGAGTTATGGAACAATGACATGAACCTACCTCGTCAGGAAGTTCCGAATAGCTACATTCTGCTGTCGAAAGAAGAAGAATGGAAGTGAAACCCGTAAACGAACTGACGGCAGATAGGAGCTAAAAAGCAAATACCATTACAATCAGTTTCGATCCTGTTAGAATAATCGTAGGACTGTTGGAGAATTGTTGGAAAAATGTGTGTCACTATAGCAACAACAATCCATGATTTCGACAACTTTATAGCAACTAATTTATATATCTAGACATATATATATATGTATACAAAAAAATTACCAAATTCCAAACTGATGGAGGTACTGATGAATACCATCTGTCAATGGAAGGAATCAACAGTAAGCACGGTGTCCCACTTGATGAGGCTCGAATAGCTGATTGTACACAGTGAGAAAAACGCTCCTCAGGTGACCCTATAAAAAAAGATAACAAATGACAATCAACACGAAGAGAAAAAAACAGAATTTGACCTCAAGAAATGATAAGCGTAAAAATAATAACCGTAAGAGAAGAGGTTGGCCATTGAAAGTGAAAATACCGGAAGATGATCCAAATGATTTATGATAACAGGTAGGATATACGACGTTTGACCCATATTACTGGAGGAACCGCAGAGCAGTAAACGAGCTGAAACATTTTCCGAGAAAATGATAAGCCTATTAAAAAAATGTTTTAGCAGCTATATGAAATCTTCAGCAACAAAATCAACTTCAAAGCTATATTGTGGTGTAGAGACAGGTTGCATAGTATCGAAACAGGTAAGAAAATACTTTTTAAAACCTAAAAATAAGCTGAAAAAGAATACGCGCTGCTTAGCTAAACTTGAGTGACCCAAATTACATGTGGTTTGAACTATAGAAAATTATATATATTAGTTTAATTGCCGGTATTCTGAGCTTCTCATCAAACATACAATGCAAAAGGAAGTCAATATATTCCCATCTTAGCAAAAAGCTGACTACTAAGAAAATATAATCATGACGAAATTTCTCCACCAGAAGTACGAATACTCATGCAACCGAACTTACCAGACGGTATAGCAGGACTTGAATAAACTGTTTTTAAGATTCGCTCGATGTCACCCAATTCCCGACCGTCATCAACTACATCGTGATAACCCTTAGGAATGCGGTGGCATATTAAAGCAATCACATCTTCTAACAATATCTTAAGCCTGTCGTCCAAAATTCGCGAAGGTATAGTAAAATCTAAAAATCCATGACTGGAATATTCCTGCAGTGTGTTTCGCTTTAGATTCAATATACGTGAAAGCATTTCACGTATATATAAATTAATCGTTATAACCAAAAAAAACTTTAAAAGATATAAATACATACCTCTTCGACCAGCTGGTACAATGCGTCGCATAGCAATATCAAAATCTTTCTTTCCCACTTTTAATGCCTTGGGATCAATGCAAACCTTTTCTTTGGATGAATAAATTTGAGGAAACTGAGATCGAAGTGCAGTAAGAATTGCTTCCGTACAAAGCAACTGAATTATACATGAATGTAAACGCACAAACCAGACTAAGTCAACAATTAATTATGGTTTTTAGGTATCAAAGAAAGACTGAAGAATAAAAACAGAGCCTTATTTCGCTTAACCGTACCTTCAAATCCGCGCCGCAATACCCTGACGTGTGATCAGAAAGCCATTTGAAAATCGTATCTGATGGTCGATTAATTCCCCAACATGACGTATGAATTTTTAAAATTTCCAATCTGGCATTCTTATGAGGCAAACTAAAAAAATCAATGCAAACTGACTTCATCAAAAAACAGTATTAGGTCGAGAAGTTTAGTGATTCTGCAATCTCCTAAAGGACTTCAGAACAAAGAAGAAACAAACCGGAAGCTTAATTCTCGATCAAATCGACCAGGACGTCTCAAAGCAGGATCAATCGCATCTATCCTATTCGTTGCTCCGATTATAACAACCTTAAAAAAGACGTTTCTTAAGGAATTATGAAAATACAGTTGGACAAAGTATAAAAGTCAACATTGAAATATAGAGAAAAAGCATTACCTCGCACCGACTGTCCAAACCATCCATAAGTGCTAGCAAAGTTGAAACGATGGAACTGTGAATTTGATCTTGTCTTGAACTTCGAACGGGAGCCAAGCCATCGATTTCATCAAAAAATATTATAGAAGGACGCATTATGAAGGCCTGTTCGAAAAGAGCTCTAAAAATACAAAACCATCATTTAATTAATACTACATAAGAAAACAGTTCTATTTCATTTTCATTTTCAAACCACCAGAAATTAACGTTACAGTGCAAAAAGCATAAGATAAAAATGGAAACTGTAACATACACACACCAATATAAAAATAGAAGAAATACGTCTAGGACGTGTGGTACGGAATAATTAAATGAAACGCCAACCTTAACTGTCGTTCAGATTCGCCTACCCATTTGCTCAAAATATCGGCTCCTTTCCGCATGAAAAATGCTACTTTTTTGTCACCTTCGCTACATGAATTGGCCAACGCACGTGCTACAAGTGTCTTTCCCGTACCTAAAAATGTTTGTTGTTATAGTATCGTACTTTAGAGAAACTAATCAACTGAAAAGTGAGATATTTTTATGTCAAAAGATTTTCGATGATAATTTAATGAGAACCACTAAATTTGTAAAACCATTGATTCGCAAAATTGTATCACGTGCTATAAAGTATTAAAACAACTGTTAGTATCAAGAGGTTACCCACTTAACTACATGCTTAATGAATACAAAAAAACAAACCCGGTGGCCCGTAAAAAAGAACTCCTTTCGGCGGCTGAATATTGAACTGAGAAAAAATTTCACCGTACAATAACGGGAAAAGAACTACTTCTTTCAAAGATTGTATATGACAATCCAAACCACCAATTTTGCTAAAATCTATGCTACGATCAATGTGCATGGGATCAATATCTGATCCGGAAATGTTAGCTGCTCCCGCTTTGCGACGGATCAATTCACGCACGCCAATTGTATACGACAGATCATCGTCTGAAAAAGAAGTCTCCATTATGAAGTATATGGAATTTTTATTATAACAATCCTTTTCTCTACAATTTTCGCACTGCCAAATCATTTTGACTAGTAAAAGAAAAAAAATCATGGGAAGAGAACTACCTTTAAGGATTGTATGTGACAATTCGAGTCACTGCTAAAATCGGTGTTGCATCAATGTGCATGGAGTCACTATCTGATGCGGAAAAATTAACCTTAAGAATTAGACTGCGATACAAAAGGGTCTGTGTTCGGAACACAAAAAACAATTTAACTAAAACTTACTGTTGACTGGACGTAACTGAGCTCTAGCTTTATTCATTCTTCGCAAACGGTGACATTCGAATCGAGCATCCCCAGTAGCTTGCATGGCACCTTCAGATGAAGTAGAGGATGAATCCGAATCGCTTCTACCAAAGAGTCGTTTTCTATAAAGAATAAAAAATTCATATACTTCTTGAAATTCCAAAAATAATAGCACGGTAGAGATATGAGATGAAGTTGAACATTTCCAATTGGTGAGATTCCTCATAATATCAGAAGTGTGATACCGATGGATATGTCGTCGTGATCCTGATTCTCGTAAATCATTATTCGACAGTTCACGTCGAAGAGTATATGTACGAGTAGACTGAGCACGCGGCTCAATACAAAAGCGTGCTACTGGATTGATATGTGTCCTTAACGCATAATGTCGCGGCACATTTTCATCTGATTCATCATCTTCCTATATATAATGTGATTAAAAAATTTGTCGACGCAGTATAAAATTATATTCACTTCATGACCAGTGTTTTTGTTTCGAATATCATTACGTTTCCCGTGTTTTCATATCTCTTCCTCGTGCAAAATTTCAAATCGTATAAAACTGTTTTATCAGAAAGAAAATTTTGGAATCTCAAGATGTTTCTTCTGATGTTACTTAAGTGAAGCTGCAACTGCACTATTCTTTTCTCTACCTTGAAATTTTTTTAAATGATAAGATTTGGTACTGCTTGCAAGAGATGTCTGCTTTGGACTGGGCATTTCAATGGCATTTCAGCATTTACAAACATCGAGGATCCGCACTGCATGTGTGCGATACATGAAAAATCAAATAAGAAAATAAAAAAATTTCGACTAACTTCCGCAGCACCATTCCTTCGATCTTCTTCACCATCTTCTGAATCTTCTTTTTTAGGTTGTCGCCTACGAAGTGAACTGTAATGAACGTAAGTACAATTTATTCTTAGATACTGTAATGCTGACTTAATCGCATGTCATATTTTCATGTATTGCAATCGTATCGATTAATGCTTTCTTTATCTCTTTAACCTACCACCCTTAACCTGAAAAACAAGGGCTTTAGGGTATTGTAAAAGCAGAACAAATACATTTCAACATACTTGCACGCCACAACATTTTTGGCCTTTTTTTGGGCAACGAGTGTGGCTTGCTTCTTTGCTTGATGTCGCTGTTTTACGCTTTCGTACATATTTGGTTCTACAACTTCCTGTTTAGTGGCAGATTCAATCGCTGAATTTGACAATACCGGGCGTGCATCTTCGGCTGGTGAATCTGAAGCCGGAGAATTGATCTCCTCGTCAACTGGAGATGATGGTTTCGACCTGCAATATAGGTTTTACTTTGAAATATTAATTTTTTTAAGAAACTGAGATTTAAAGAACATATCAATATCTTTAATACTTAGTTCTTCACTTGCAAGTTCTTCCAGTTTCAATAATTTATGAACAAATGAGTTTATTTAGGAAATAGTTATAAAAATCGTTAAGTCTTTTCGGAAATAGCTCATGTACTCCGTAGACTGCTTATATATCGTACCTATTATTCACAAAATCACTCCCAGGAAGTGGTATACCTCGATTTTTTCCGGATTTTTGAATGCATCACACAATCTTCGAAATCATCATCAACGTCGCTCTGTCCATTCGTAGGAACTCCGTACGTATCTACATAGATCCTATCTTTTGATCTTGTCGAATAGCGAAATGAATGAGGCAGAACATATGAGCTACTTATCTAAAAGAGTTAAAAATACATGACCTGCATCACTAATATTTAAAATAACTAATTTCCTCAGTCGTCAAAATGAAAATACAACTAATGATCCTTTTTGAAAGGCTTTTTCCCAGGCATATTATTATAAATATAATTATGTTCTCTTAGAAAGACCTTTCTGCCTGCCTCTTTGGATTTTTTGTGGAATTCTGCTAGAGAAGGAAAGGAAGGCATTCATCTATTTAGCCTTAAAACACCTTATTTGTTGAAATCCTTTGAAATGATAGAAATCTCACACCAGAAACAAACAAGGAAACGGAACATACTGGATCCCGCGATCTATTGGCTCGGTCGACCAGAGAGCGTAACAGTGAGTCCCCCGTTGAATTGGCGAGGAGGAAATTCTCATCCAGGCTCATATAAATCGCTTGTCTCTCTCGGGAGGAACGTCGTGGAAACTGTACCGATCCATCTCGGTAACCATATTCTCCACGTCTTGATGACATCTACACCACTACACTCCCTGTCTCTGAAAAAGAACATGTTTCAGAAAAACCTTCACTACAACATAAAGAATATACATTAAGGTAACCTGAGGAGCTACTTGAATAAATCAGCGAATCTTCTGGACAACTACTCCAGAAGTTATTCCAAACTAACACACCAGTTCTTTTCTTTTTACTGAAATGCTTGCTTAACTATTATGTGATCATTCAAATATTTCATCGGTCAGTTTGCAACTTTTACATGTAAATTCTCTAGTAGTCAACAAACCTTTTCAACCACTACACGGACTGGTATCAAAGTCTGATCATAAACAACAGGAAATATGCCTCAGATCATGTGAATTGCTATAACTAACAATTTACGCCGCCTAACGACGGACGTGTAATATGTGTACTTCGGTCCTTAGGCTATAAATTTTTTATCCTTTCGACTTCGTGCGCTATTAAAATACCTCCTGTAGTGGAACGCATGTTAAAGGTGATATCTGAAGTATTGATGGTGATAGACCCTGTACCCTCTGACCTCTGACATATTTCTCTATCATCTTTCATTCGCCAATATTCCTCCTTTTTTTCTTGTATCTTTTCCCTCTCCAACAAAACCATATTGTTTAACCACACCAATGCTACTTAGCTATCGATCACACACAAACAACTAAGTATCAGCACTTAATAATCACTTTAAAAGGTTGAAACTCCTTGTCCCTGACACAGCCTTGTCACTGTAAACGACCGCACCAGACCAGCAAAATCACAAGTGTAAAAACCCATACGGCAGGTAACACTTGCACTACTTGAATATCATCTTGCTACGCGACAGTGACAGTCCATCGATTGGGATTTGTGAAATAGGTGTGTGCCAATCATAACAGATTTCGGGCCTGATTTGAAAGCTTCTTTCTCTTCATTATCTAGTAAAGATCTATTTTAGCCGTCAAATTTAAGAAATAGATTTATATATTTTTTTGTCCCTATATCATTGTAATCTTGTTTTCCGTAATTTTTGAGAACCTCCCAAAAAATTAACATTTCAATCAAAATGAATTCCAAATCAAAGTTTGCAATCAAAGCGAACTTGAAATAGAAACTTTGCCCAGATTAAATTTAAAAGTGACGTTCTGAATCAAAATAAATCCATCTTCGCTTAATACAACTATGCAATTGATGTCATCAACAGCAATGGCAACTGTAGTCGAACTGGACGGAATATCTTTAGTATTAATATTAATTAGATTCTTCAGCGTAACCATATATTTCTACCCGTATTCATTCCTTTAGCATCCCGTAAGACATATTACATTGTAACCATCAGATGATTTAATTTAATATATGAATACAATCGAGATATTGATTTAATGACCCATGTATTGGCGATCACCAATGATTAATGCAAACCCATGATAAATTTAAATATTAAAAAAAGATATCTGCATGAAACTTTTTAATCATTTGTGATTCGAAATCTCTGACGGCTAGACTTTTAGAATATCCCATTTCTCCCTTCTTTTCTTCCATGTCTTCAAGCCTAATTTAAAAGGCAGAGAGACACTGTAACATATACCACGAGCAGGCAGTGAATAATGCATAAATAATACATAGGTACGTTGTGTGTCTCTCGTAATGCAATATCTCGTAGCGCTGAAATGATAGAGGAACGGTTCGCAAAAAGTAGAGAAGATCCCAATCAGCAAAGCTCCTAGGAATATTCTTGATGGATATAAGAAAGGGAATTCAATTCAACTGCGTATTGCACAATTTCTGTCACAGTTTACTCCTACTATAGCGTGGTCGATACAAAAGCGAACTTCACTATGTGCATAGTGCACTATAACATTCAATAATACGAAAAAAGGCTTGACATTCAAACTGATATTACTTATCAAATAAAAGTTTTTACACGATAAAAGGCACCTCAACTAACTCTGCAAATATAGTAGAGGCAACGACGTTCGAACTGTATTGTTTTTAATCAAATGACAGCGGATATCGCTACAGAACGCAAAATTTCAATATAAAATCCAATATTTTTTAAAGAAAGGCTGTTATTACATAATGAGATTCATCTCACTGTTGAAAAGACAATAAAAACGAAAAGCAACTATCCGAGTCCTATAACTGAAAAATTAAACAGCCTAATTATTTCTTACATTCATCTTCTATAAATTTGATCAAATCAGCACGCTCTTGAGGCTTCTTCAAGCCCGCAAATACCATTTTCGTTCCCGGAATATATTTTTTAGGATCTAATAAATATTCGAATAACGTTTCACGTGTCCAAACCACGCCCTGAAATATATATATATCAAAGTTGAACATAAAATCAAACAAGATCACTTCCCAAGAACGAAGAAATAATACTAATTTCTAAACAGTTAGAGATCTTTTATAATCATGATTTAAACGCAGCGTGCTATAAATGACAAATAGAAGGACGAAAGAATAACAAACTATAATAGATTATACGTTTTCTGTCCGAAATAGATTCCATTCATTTGTTAAGCAAGATAAAAGACAGGTATATTAGGAATGCCGAAGACGGTGGGAAACGTTAGAACAAGTACACATTCTAGTGGCAATTTAAACAGTTTTGTTATGTTTGAAGCTGCCAATTTTCTTTGAGAAAATATAAAGCTAAATTCATGGATGAAGCAAATTATGCGACACCCATCAAACTAAACTACTCTGACGTTGAAGAATATACGTACGGATTTCACTTGAGTTCTCGATGAGAAAATGACCATTAGGTAAATGAAACTATATTACAGCAATAACAAAAGTTGGAAGTTGATGCAATAACTCTACCATTCCAACCTTATTTCACATAATACACTTGTCTAACTACTCCCAGTAAAACTATGTAAACCTTTTAATATAGTATAAGTCATATAATTAACGAGTGTGGGCTAAAAGAAAGGCAAATCGTAGAGTCAAAAAGCTATTCTAAGCAGCCAAGCACTCAAACATCATCTGGTTAACTTGGACGTGAACAATTTAATTGCAGTTATCAAAATCTGTTAATTGAAGTAGTATTACGTATGCTGCATAATAGAATGAAACCTTATTCTTATTGGAGGTAGAATATGGGTAACCATCAACAGTACCCGACTTACGTCCAATTACACCCTTCAGCGTCGGGCCATTTTTATTCGCATCTGAATCGATAACATGGCACTGAAGGCATCGCATTTTAAATAACTTCTTGCCTCTCTCGTAGTCACCTTCCGGAATTGACATATCAATATGTAAGGTCTGCAAGATATCCGCAAATACGTATTACACAACAATCCCATCCATTATAATTAAGAAAAAGAAAGAAAATAATCACTACGCATATTCATTAGTTGTTACTAATTAATATGAGTAGCGATTATTTTCTTTTATCGTCGAAATCACATATTTTCACATTGGGAATATGATTTCGGGATAAGAGTTAAATTATGAAATAAATTTAGGTTCCCCTTCTTTCTCCTCCTGTTGTTAAATACTTGCCTTCATAAAATAACACAAACACATTCCTACCACCTCTGAACTTCCCCAAACCCAAACACTCGACACATCCACTTGAATCCCACTAACCAATGTTCTCGACTTTTACATTTGATGCGGTCCATCAAATGATAACGATATTGTCTCAAGCAGAATTTTTTTTATCACAAACTTCAACTGCATCTGCTGCATTCTACAGTTACACCGATAATTCGTCCATCAATAATAATGGATGGATTTCTGATATGATTCAAATCACTGTAGCACATCGATAAAGAATTTCAGCCGTTTTAGTATAATGAAAAATAATTTTATTCGCAACACTGTTAAATGATCAAATAGCTGAACGAAATGAAAATAAACAATTGACATGTAATCAGACAATATAATAAGCATTATCATTTATCGTGGTGATATTCTTTTTCGTGATTGCGGATAATGTTTGGTTCGATGATTGATACGCATATGCTGCACCAAATCGGCGGTTAATCGAAATATGCTACCACATATAGCACAGCAATTTTGATTTGGTACATTAAATGATGTAAAATTTGGATTCAACATTGTGTTCATCAAATAATCTAAAATATTAGCAAAATTTTTAATCAAATTTAAAGTTTATGAAAATTAAATATTATCCCAAAAATTTAAACAATATTTCCTCGATAATCCAGCAATAAAATACCTTAATATTTATCTGAAATTTAAAATCCATTCCATATTTTATCTAGATAAATTAAAATATTATTGAATAGAATGAAATGAGATTCTTGTTTTTCATATTAATCAATCATACTACGTATTGCTATGAGAATAGTAATAGTATAGGAATTATTATTAAAGCTCAATGGATTATATGTTCATGGAATTTTTTTCGTAAAATCAAAGAAAAAAATCTTATCATATATTTGCTAATTGAAATTAGATAGTTTTAATCATTAGATGGTTTTTAATTAATAGAAAACTATCTAATGATTAAAATTATCTAGCTTCAATTAGCAGAAATTTTTTAATTAATTTGTAAAATGACTAATATTTTATAATTTCAAATTTGTAAGTTTTCAATTAATAGAAACTGTAAAATGACTGATATGTTATATACTTTTAAATTTGTAATAATCATTTGTTTCATTTTGTTTTTTTCAAAGTCACATTATGAAAACTAATTGTCCACAAAGCTAAACTTTTTGTTGATTTAAAGAATAACTGAAATTTCTCCTTCAATAATTTATTGAAAAAAGATTTGAAGAGAAAAAGGAATGAACAATTTACTGGGTAATAGCATAATGTTAAATCGCAAACTCATTGCCGTATTATGATGTTGCATTCCTTTCTTATAATCCGATTGCATATGAGTGGTTGCATACGGTTGCATCAAACTTCCATAATTCTATAATCAAAATATATAATCATTAATTCTTCATTTTTAATTTATTATTTTTTCAAACTTTACAAATAATAACTTAAACATTCATTTATTATTAAATATAATTTTTTAATAAATTAAATTTTATTCCAAAACAAAAAACATATGTATTGTTAATGTTACAATACATATATTTTATATCAGTTTAACCTTTCCTAATTATGCTTATCAATTTATTTACTTTCTCCTATCAAATCATTAATTAGGAATTTCGATTTCGAATACCTGACTAAAAATGATGATATAAATTTTAAAGTAAATCAAATTTTGAAAACATCTCAAATAATTAGATCAATAAAACAAAAATCGAATCTTCTGCAAACAGAAGAAAAAAGAGCAAAACTTCTTTTCTTATATTTTTTCCTGATTAATCAATAAATCATCAGAAAACCTGAAATTGAATTTTTATTCAAAATGATAAATATGATAAATGGGGTACTTTTTGAACAAGCTGAGAAATATGATCATTTTGAAAATTAAGTGCAATCGTGCTCTTATCATTATTACTGCCTTCATTGCAACAATCATCCAAAGCAGGATTCCATATGCGACACTTTTTTGCTATCACCTCATCATTGCTCGTCATAACGGTGCAAATGATATTTGAATTGTTTCCAAAATATTTAACAATTTTTTTTTTTGAAAACCCATTTTTAAAATATCGTATTTACATGAATATGGAAATTCAATCAATCAATAAATTTCATTAAGTATGATCAATTGATTTGAGTGATCATAAAAAAAGGTTCCATTGAAAGTATCATTTTTTAAATTCATCTTTCATTTCATTTATAAAATTTCTAAATTTTCTTCACTAATGAGAGAGTCATCAAATATTAAGTTTGAGTGTAAGTAATTCAACAAATAAGTTATAAATTACTAATTAATAAATCAATTTTTTAATTATGAAAACAAAATAATAAAAATAGCTTTAGCTTAAAACAATAAAAAATCTAATTTATGATATCTTCTTGCTAGTTTCCTAAAAATATTCAAGATATTGATAAGAAATATCACCAATTAGATAACAAAATTTATCGATGAAATTTTTCAAAAAAAATTAAGAGGAAAAAAATTGCTAAGTGAAATATGCAAAACAAGACGGATTAAGTTTGCATTTATTTTGAGGAAATGCCGTATCATATCAAAATTATTATACGAACTAGTAGGAATATTCTAGATAATTATGTAAATGAAGAGGAGGCTTATTAATAATAGCCTGGTAAAAATAGTCACAGTAAATGATAATCAAGAAAGGCGCTAGTTTAATATTCATGAGTTAGGATGATTTAATTTTGTCACATTTCTTTCTTGGTTAAAATATAATGGCAAGCAATGAAGCATATGAAATGAAATATTTGTGAAGATGCAATCATCCTACTAACACATTTATTTTATATTTTCAACAAATAAATAATTGTGTTGAAATCAACTAATATATCTTATCGAATTTCCTATACGGAAATTATCTCAATTTTTAACTCATATAGATTGAGAAAATTTTGAATCATATCGTTATTCGGTTGGATAAATTTATTGTTGGTAAAAATTGATGAATTAGAAACGTTAACAGTTTGTAGATGTATATTTGAAATTATTGCTGAATAGGGAGAGAGACCTGGTACACTGTTTACAACAAGTAATTAAAAGTAACAGTAACTCTGAATGTAGTGAATTATCATTATTATTGATAGCGGAAAATTTGGCTTAATCAGTAAAGAAAATGCACAATAAATAAACATCAATAAAATAATATCAAATTCAAGAAATCATCAAAAACAAATAGCTGAAAGCAAATGTGATACTTATCTACCGAATATTCAATTTGCTAATGAAAGCAATTTTTTCATAAATTAAAAAAAATATATAAAACCAATAAAATGAAGATTGCAGAAGATCTTGGATGAGTAATTTGTATGTAACAAACTGATGTCCATGTCAACATTTTCTCCATATTGTGAACAGGGAATATCCTAATTCTGATTATGCCCACCCCTTAACAAACTGTCCGTAGCTGTCAATCTATCTATATCTACTGCTTCATATACAAATTCATCCTGAAATTTTGCATACAAATACAAATCACAAGGGAACATCAAGATGCATCCATCCGTTCCATCCGAGACTTATAATGCATTTAATTACTTTCGGCTTCAATGATTTTAAGAATTATTTCGAAAAATTTACGACTTTTATAACTCAGTTTCTTTTTTTCCCACCTCATGCTTCACGAAGGCAGACAGATTTGCCTAGAAATTAAAGCATCACGATGTATTTTGAAACGACAGAAATAAATCTACTTTCCAATGCATTTAGGCATATTTGATTCAATTTTCTTCATCTGCAGAGAAAAGATTGATTTGGAAAATGTGAAATTTTAAATATGACGTAATGTGCTGTATGCAAGAATATCAGATGTGTATAACACGACTCCGTCCTCCTGTAATCACTTTTCGACAACAGTGATTATCAGAGTCTACTTACAATATGTCAGATTATCAAGATAAGGCAGTGAAAGTAAAAAGAAACACCCTTAGATATGCATTGTGATAGTGTATTTGGCCGCCGTTAAAAAGCTGATACGAGATAAAAGTAACAGAAAAAGAAATATTTTTTTGAAAATTTTTCACTTCTTAAAAATCATCATAAGAAAAAGTAAAAGTGGTACAAATCAGAAGAACTCAACAGGAATGTCCAAAAAATCAGTAATCATATTATTCTATATACTGCCAAAGCAAAATTAAAAGCGTTAAAGATCAAAGGGTTTTACAAATTTTCTCTTGTGTACGAGAAGAATGATTTATAAATCTTTCGAAGGCCTGATATGTTTTTGACAGACCAAATTTTTTTTACTGGCTGTGACAAACAAGTAAATGTGACAACATTTTCACTATGAAACAAAACTCCGCAGTCTATCAAACAATCCATGAGACTTCTCCGGTTCTGCTTCCTCGTCAACCTGCAAAACATACTTACATTTCTTTGGTTATATGCATTTAACAAAATAGTTTAATAATTCCACAAAGTCTTGGTTCATAATAGCACTTTTTTCCTACCCATTCGCTAAATGAGGATTAAAACAACACGAACAAAAAATACTGTCCTTGAAACAAAAATAGCAGCCAAATTACCGAAGTTTAAGATGGGTTGTGAATCAGGCAATAGAATTACATGGCAAGAAGTAACAAATAGAGTAAGGGTTTCGATTATAGACATAAAGAAATGCTTGATAGGTAAAGCAAAAATACAGGGTTAAAAACAAGTCTAAACATTAAGATGAAATAAAATTTAAGGCAACTTACCCGGTAATAATTATCTATTGCATTGAAAGAAGCACGTAGAGAACGAATTCCTGGACGGACGTGTGATGCAATTAATGAAGAATTAAAACTAGTATCTAGAGGACGTGGGACTGTACTTGGCGAAGATGACGGGTTAATCACACAAAAAAAGGACTGTTCCGACAATGACTTTGCGCTTTGGTTGAACTGAATACTGTTTTCATTATTTGCTTGTGAAAATGAGTTGAGATACTCATCATCCTCTAAATTTACCAACTCCTGCAAATATAATGGTAATGTAAATACTTTAGACTCATCCAAAAGCAATACCGAGGTGAGGAAGATAAGGCCTTATCAAAAATCCAAATCTAATATGCAGTAAAGATATCCAAAGCTGAAAAAGAACGATAAACTTCTTACCTCATTATCAACTGGAACTACACCTAAGCGCAATCGACCATCTACGATTTGACCGTTTCGAGAAAGAGCTTGCTGGGCATGAATGGGTGAAGCATAACGTAGAAACATCCAATTGCCTTCTTTAGGAAACTAGAACAAGAATTATATGATGACTATGTCAAAAAATAAAGTACAAAGATGATGTTGAAAATAAGACAACAAAATGACAAACAAAAATGAGAAGTACCCGATGAGCAACAACTGTTCCATGTCGTGCAAATAATTTAAGGACATTTGTTGCATCTTCTCGAGAGAAACCAAACACAGTAATCCAATGTGCAGCAATTTCTTGTCTAAAGCAACTGATGCATAAACATTAATGCTTTCGCGTCATTATTACTAGGTTCTAATTATCATTTGATTATGATTTTATTCGCACATAAAAAACAACGAATTACTTACTGAGTTTGAAGGTCCAACACGCTTGACAGATTCGAAATTGTGGAAGTTGAATCCCTGGATATCTGATAGGGACATAGCAGTTCCTCCCTCATAGAACGAAGAGGAGGATCTGAAAAAACGCAAACTATATGGCTAAAATTTGAAAGACACAGAAGGAATAAGACAAAATACATTAGTTAATGAAAACGTCCTAAGAATGGTGAAACCTATTAAAAAGATGTATAATTCAGTAAGCACCTTCTAAAGAAGTTCGAATTAAAAAGGGAACCAAAAAAGAAATAAAAGTACCAATCGAAACATCTGGTCCTATTGAAGATGACTTATCCAGATCTGTATCCATAAAAAAATCTTTACGCATTCTGCCCGAAGCAATATTTCTAGTATGTACCAGTGATGGTGACCAATGAACACTTTTAGTTTGCGAACCTACAACATTATTTACGTTAATTTTAATTCCGTCTGCCAAAGATGAAGTTTTGTCTGAATGTGCCTTGCAAGACATGAGAAAGTTGCTTTTTTTGCATTTACAATAACGAGTTAGTATAATCTAACCTGTTATTATTGTCGCAAAAAAGCAAGTTCCCATGTCTTACAAGTCACACTACTTCTCGCAAATGTCAGCACATTTTATCCATTGTAACAGCTACAGGTCCGACAAACATGAAGCCCAGATCATATCTTAGCTTTGGACTATTTGATTGATAAATCATTCGTTAACCTGTTGACAACGTAAAATGAGACCTAAATCACTTAAAAAGTAGAAATACATCATTCTCTACTTAGACTAAGCTGATAACAAAGACGGCAATTATTCATGACAAATCAAAACAAAACACAAAATTGAATTGAAAATGATTACTAGTTTTCGAGGCTACAGTTAGTTCATCATATTCCAACGGCCGTTTCTCTGGAGTGCCAGTGTCTACAATAACGTGAAATTATTAAAATATCCATTTAATAACTAAAAACTCCGGAAATTTTACCTTCGACACTAAATCCTGTACAACACAGAGATTCTTAGAATTCAATTAATGCAGATTTTGGGTATATATATACTCTTATCGACAAAATAGGAAATGCTGCCTTCCAAGAAAAACAAGACGAATCATACCAAAAGCCATAATTAAACTTCGACGCCTGTTGCGAGAACCAAAGAGAAAATTAGGCGTTGCATGTTGCTCAGTGAATGCTCCAGTATTACTGTTGGATAATCGACTACCATCCGAAAATATTGAATTTTCAGATTTCGACATCATAATAACTCTGAAAATTAAATTTCTATATATCTAAATATTTGAGGCGATTAATCCCTTTCTTTAGAGAATTCATTCACGTCTAATCTTAAATTCGAGTAGATATCATCAAATGAATGAAAAACGAGATAATTACAAAAAAAAACACAAGGATTAAATCCGGAATAAAAGATCCCCGGATCAGAAGCTAAGAACCCTAGAACAATCCCTGGATTCTGCAATTAGAAATCGAATTTGTTAGACATATCGAACCAAAACCAAGCAAAGTGTTGCAGTATCTCATCATCTCTTAACCCTTTCCTTTCAGCAATACCCGTATCTCTGTTGTTCTCAATTACTATCCTGTTCAAAAAACTACCATTCGATTGCACCGCTTTATTTTAAATAATCTTTTTTCCTTTAAAACTATTTTTATAGGAGTTTCTAACAGCCTTCCGTCTGCAACTTTTACTGATAATTTCGTCATTGCCGGATTTTCCGGATATACTAACTAGCGGATTTTTGCTGTATTTCCGAGAGATGTTGACAAACACTTCGTATTCATATACCTCCATCCCAAAAAAACTCTCATTATTATTGATCAACTATAACAGTAATAATAATTAATGATAGTAACGAACTAATTAATAAATATTGTGGTAGATAACTAAACATCATCCTAATAAGTGATGGTTTAATACAAAATACCGTACTGTAGTTGTGGAAATGTATATCGTTAAAATGGGTGATTAAAACATAGCAATAAATTTTATACGGAATACTTTGCTTGCTAACACAACATGAGGAATAGATATTTCGACAAGTTATATGTCGGTAAAATTTGATCAGTGAAGAGCAAAGTAAGAAGTATGGTATATTATTATTGCATTAATTATTTGTTCACTACTAATTGATTATTTCATTTCTTATAAAACGTATCATTCGATAAGCCAAAGGTAGATGGAATTTATATATAAGGCTAATATCATGAAGAAATTGGATTCAACTGAAAATAGGAAAAGCAATGTTGATTTATTCAGGTTGTACAAACTATTTAGGTTCTTCCATTTTATTCCCGCTTTTCGAGGACCCGTATGAAAAGCATAGCTTAATGTTGGAGAAATACCAGAAATAAAAGGATATTCTCTATTTCTATTTTCTTTTTATTCATTCCCGATACTGAATTTGATAGATACTAGTGGCAGTCATCGACAACTCTTCGATTAAGACAAGAAAATATTAAAAACAAATAAATAAAAACAAAAGGCTTTCAGTAATTAAATACTGTAAAACTTTATAAGTAATAACTGAGAACAAACAAATTGATTGAAATTCTTTGAATTTAAAATTTGCTCATTTTTTAAATATTCAAAGTTGATCGAAGCAATGTTTTTGTTTCTAATTAAAAATAAGCAAATTTATAACACCAAATGAGTTTCAATTAGTTGGGAAATTAATTAAGAGATGTTATCAGGATGCAATCAGTGTTTTCCGGAAAAAATTGCTATCATTCAAATTGATGTTTATGCAAACAAAATTACACAATTTAATTTCCCTACTTTCACATATGTCTTTTTTTCTTTCTTAAATTTGTAATATCAAATTATTAAAACTTTTAGTTATGATGGATCAAATGATATTATATTATCAAATTTAAAAGTCGTTTTTATCATGTGAACTTTCCGCTGTTGTTGTTGTTGTTGCTGTTGTTGTATTCATTCCAGATATTCCCATTTTATTTTCCAATATAGCAACGTCTGCTTCCATTTCTGATTGCTCTGTAATTAACAATAAACAAATAATTTTTTAATCGTTACATTCAAATTTCTAATTTATAAATTTGAAAAAAATTGAATTTAAAAAATAACGGATACGTTATGATAAGCAAAAAAAATGAATTCATAATGCGTAACTCCGTGAATGTATACGTATTTTTGATCAGTAATATAAAGTCTCACGTTTTAAAAGTTCAATTTCACGATATTGTCGACGTATTTTTGTTTTTAAGCTTATATTTTCCTCACGTAATGATTCTAATTCAGTAAGTGTCATCCGATATTGATGTTCCCATGTTTCACCATAAACACCCTGTGATTTGTTGATATTTTCAAGATGACTAACCTGTAAAAATCTAATCACATGATGCTGTAAAGAAGGAAATAAAACGAAATGTTGCAATAAATGTTTGAAAGGTTTTTCAAATCAGATAAGAAATTATCATATATCATTTGATTATATTAGTATTCATAAATTACCTATAGCACTTATCAATTAAAAATTCTAGAATATTAGATTGATTTTCAAAATAATTTAATAAAAATTATTTGTGTAGTTTTTACTTGTGCCATAACTCGATTAAGTTGTGATGTTCTAAAATTAAGTTCTTTTTGTAACTCTTCGATTACTCGTGCTTCTTTTGCATCACGTTTTTTCATTTCATTTTCTCGTGATAAAGCATCCATTTCCATTCTCATTTTTCTTCTACAATAGAAATATGTTGAACAAAAATCAATATCATATATTGAGGTGAAAGGTTGAATAATTAATTTGAAAATTACCTTTCTTCTAGGATTTCCATTTGTCCATCTTTTACCGCTTTTTCATACTTACTTCGTACATTTTCTAATTCATTTTGAGTTCTCTTCAAGCGTAATTCATATTCATGATTTCTTCTTGCTTCATCTGACAGTGATTGTTCCAATTTCTTCACAGAAATATCCAATGTACGAACCATTTGCGATAGCTTATCTCGTTCCTTAAATATTTCTTGGAAAAGTTTGAAAGTGAAACAAGAAAATATCCGTCCAATGATCAAATATCAAGGGTCATTGATCATCATCGAAATATTGGAAATGATAGGTCGAAAAGCTGCAATAATATGGTAATCCAATAAGTACTTGAAGATTTATACATTTATTTGACTAGAAAGGTTATTGTTTGTTTAGAATTACCGGAAATATAACGGTTGAACAAACGGTTGCAAACAATTCGAAGTGTAGATGATATGATGAAAAGACTGCAAAAATTAATTAACAATTATAATGTTGAAGTTCGTTGCTTCAGAAGGATATTTGACCATTGTCTAAGAGACGAGAATACTTATATTGACGGTGAAATGTGAACTTACTTCCTCATTTTTTGCTAAAGTTGATTTATACACTTCAATTTCACGTTTCATCATTTGTGTATCGGTGTGTGCGGAAGCAATTTGCCTTTCCAACTGCGAAATTTTCCGTTCGTTAGCAAATTGACTTTGTGAGGAACTCCTGGAGAGATTGTATTGATCACTCTGAAATCAATCAATTTTGATTATTACTCTTGAATTTTATTTAATCATTTTTAAGGTCGATGAACTAAAATTACCTATTCATCAAACAAAAAAAATAAGAAAAAGAAATAGCTTACCGAATAATAACTCAATGAAAATGTGGAAGGGCTACGAAATCCGGAAGAAAATTTATTTTCGGGCTCAACCGTTCGTCTGCTCAATGTACGGATAGAGCCAATGGATCCGGCTGAACTAGAAGAGTACTGTCGACTACCCAAACGACTTTGCCTACCACCAGATACTAAAATAAAAAATTTCAAAAATTATACACTCAATAGGAATAAAATATCAAAAATATTGATAAAATATTAAATTTGTTCCGTTTATTGGCCGATTTGTAAAGTCATAGTTCATTGCATTATTGACATTTTCCGATCAATCGATGCGTGTATCGCTTCTTGCTACATTTCCGATGGAAAATGTGTATCATTATTTGAAAGAGATTTAAAAAGTTAAGAAGCCGAATTGCTAAATTATCATAATTTAATCTAACGAATCTATTACCGTAATCTGATTCGACGGAAGATTCTCGCTCTTTTTCGGAATATTCAAGTTTCATTTTCTGCGCCTTATTTTCTGTTTCCAGTCTGAAAATTTTCATCCATGTTGTGTGATTTTCTAATATATCAAATAAGTTAATTAACAATTCATTTCATTTGCTAATTTTGGAAATTTATCAGTCCAAAATACCGGTATACGTTATACGGTATGTATTAACAATATGTATTAACAGACAATATTAGACTATATGTATTAACAGACAATGCTGATAATCGTAACGAAAAATAGTTTTAAAAAATTTGATAAGATTTACTTTTGACAAACTTTTTTTAATTCATCCAAACGATTCTGTAATTCGTCCTTCGATCGCTTATGAATCTTTTTCATCTCAGCTATATTTGTTTCCGATTCCTCAGTTATTTGCTCTAGTTTCTTTTCTAATCTTCGAATCTCGTTATCTTTCTCACGACAACTTTCCTTCTGAAATTTTCGATCATGCAAATTTTAACAAATTCAAATCTATATTAAACTCCTCTTGCTAATATGTTTGTAATTTTAACATATAAAAGTTTATTTTAGAAAGTATCATTTAATGGATATTGGCAAAAATATGAAGTTGTTCATCTTAATTCATTTGCCTAATTAAGATAATAATTAATATTTAATTAATATCGTCTAATTAAATCATATGGGTACCAGCGTTTCCACTTTCGTCATTGTTTTTTGTGCATTTTCTTTCAATTTTTCCAATTCAAATTCTTGTTCATCTCGTTCATTTTCCAATTTTTTCCTCACTTTTTTCTCCATTGTCATTATACTATCAAATTTGTTATTCTTTTCCTGCAAATTAATGCTATCAATTGTTATCGTTAGCTGTTATCATTATTGTTATCATCAAAGAGATCTATCAAAATCCATTTTAACTCATATCATACAGTACATTACGACTGTATATCTACTATATCTACTATCTACATTGCTCCACTAAAAGGTCCTTATTGTTAGTTATCGATTATACCTGATTTGATTTCAGATAATTCAATCCATCAGTCAATATATCACAATGTTTTGAAGATCAAAAAAAATATGCGTCTCATCGTTTTTCAATATTATCTACTATTGTTTCTTCGTAATTGAATAAACTATTTGGATTGAATTTTCAAATAAAAAAATAATTGCTATTGTATTTAATAATATATCAATCATGAATTTAAAAAATTTACCAAAAAATAAAAATTAAGTCAATATTTGTAAATATAACGTAATAAAGTAAATTTTCTTTAATCGCTAAGCAATTCTTAAAATATGGTCAACAATATTTTGCCTAATTAT